GCGGAGGTGAGCTGTGGCGGGGGGCGGGGAGCTGCTGGTGGGTGCTAAGCACTCACCAATTTTTCCCCGTGGGTGCTCCAGCCCCAGAACACCCGCAGAGTCGGCACCTATGACCGTTCATTGGCTTGTGTGAAGTTGAGTTTGATGACTCTCCAGTCCAGTTCCCAGTGGCCAGCTGTCCACAGCGGGCCCCCAACCCCACCATCCTGGTCATACCACTGCAGGCGGCGAGAGCTCGGCACATCTCAAGTAGAGCCGGCCGTAATAGGGAGCAGTGTCTGGATGCGCTTTCCCAGACAAGCGGTGACATTTTCCCTAGCTCCTGCTCACTCAGGTTACCATAAACTGACCCACATGAACCTCACTCCATTTACTGCGGTGAAATGTCTCAACTGATACCTGTGTGCAGACGGTCCAGCTTTCACACTGAAGGCAATTCCGGGAAGGCAGGAGTGACCGTGATGTGATTGATTCTGCCCTCAGGCTGACGGCCTACGTGGCGAAGGTCTTTGCCATGGCTAAGAAACTGGTGCCCATTGAAAACCAAGTTATCTGTGGGGCAGTGAAATGGCTGATCCTGGAAAAGCAGAAACCAGATGGGGTCTTCCAAGAAGATGCCCCCGTAATCCATGGAGAGATGGTGGTACGTGTTTCCTTTGACTTTTACACACCGATCACTACCCACCTCAATCATCACAGCAACTTCTTGGTTCATAATTCAAAGGGACGTGTTACTGGGCTACATCCCAAAGTCTGTGCTCACGCAGACTGATCTCCTCTCTCTCTCTCCCATCAGTGGAACAACCCAGTGCAATTACCTGGGCAGCAGTGAATGGAGATTCAGGCCCAATGGGCCAGATTGTATCTATTTAGTCCTTAGTGGACTTCATGGAGTCTTTGGCAGTTCTCCCTTGTTGGGGGTAAACATTCTGCTGTGGGTAGATCATTTTTGGTTTTGTTGTTGTTTGGGGTTTAGGAGTGAAAGGGGGGGTCACTGTTGGAGTTAGGAGTGTCAGGGTTGGGATTTAGGGGTACCAGGATTTAGGGTGTCAGTGTTAAGGTTTATTAGGTAAAAGGGGGTGTGGGTGTCGGGCTTTTGCGGGTGTCAGTGTCAGGATTTTGGAGACTCAGTGTTAGGGTTTAGGTAGAAGGGGTGTTGGTGTCAGGATTTAGGGGGCATAAGTGTCAAGTTTTAGGGGTGTCAGGGTGGGGTTTGGGGTCTTGGTGTTCGGGTTTAGGGGCTGAAGGGATGTCAGGGTTTAGCAGAGGTGCTGGAACTAGGGGTGCATGGGGTGCTGCAACAACCCCTGGCTTCAAGTGGTTTCTATTATATACAGAGTTACAGTTTGGTTCAATGGCTCTCAGCACCCCCACTATAAACATTGTTCCAGCACCCCTGGGGTTTAGGGCTGTCAGTTTCTGAGTTTAAGGGGTCTGTGTGTTAGGGGTCTCAGTGTTAGGGTTTAGGGCAGAAGGGGGTGTCCATGTCTGGGTTTAGGGGATGTCCATGTGTGGGTTTATTAGATAGAAGGGGGTCAGGTTTGTTATGTGAGTGTTGTTCTCGGGTTGAGAGGTTGAAAGACGTCTCCAAAGGGGATAGTTTTGCAGCATTTACTAAAGACACTTAGTCTCTGGCCTGGCCTGATGTTCCCTGGGCATTGTCTCCCCACCCAACTCCCCTCGACTGAGAATGCCTTGTCCTCGCCTCTCATGCGTTTCATCCTGGGCTTAGTGAGAATGCAGCTGTCTTGGTGATTCACAGGCCAAAGTTGTCACTGGGGCTTGATCCATTAATGCACGGGAAGCTGCCTGGGAGCTAGTGGCAGGACCTGAGCATTGGCCTGGTGAGCTAAATTCTCTCACGCTGGTTCATTGCACGACAGGTGTTCGTTAGCCAACGGGAGGTTCAGCGATAGGTCTGGCCACGACTGAGAGTCCATTCTTGGGTAGCTTTCTAGGAAGCATGTGTTCTGCTATAATTTCCTATGCTGAGGGCCTGGGATTAATTCTTTCTTTTCATGGTACTCGGGGGACTTTCTTATCCCAAATCTGTCCTTTGCTCCCCTTTAGGGAGGGTACAAGGGTGCAGAGCCTGATGTCTCTTTAACGGCTTTTGTGCTGATTGCCTTGGAAGAGGCCAAGGACATCTGCAAGGATCAAGTCAACGTGAGTATCTCTGCATCGTATGTGCACTTCTATGTTCATACCCAGGTTTTCCCATCTTTCCATCCCCTATGAACCACGCCCCGTGGCATGTGGAATTTGCTGGGGAAGGAGCTAGTAAATCTGCATTGATTCATGCCATATGTAAATAAATAAAAAAAAACCTGTTTCCTCTAAGCTTATAGAAACAAAGCGTATAGGTCCAGAACATTCTAGGAGGTTAGTGAAAAATGAATCCACATACGGAATACCGGAATACTTCAAACTTTCCATTTCCCCCTTTTTCTTTAACAACAAACATAGCACCCCGAGCCCGGCACCCCCCACCCAAGCCGAGCCCTTCAGGTGGTTGCCTGGATTGCCTGCCCCTAAATCTGGCCCTGGTCTGTGGTATCAGACAGAAGCTGCAAGAGAGGAGGATGAGATGATGTGGTCGGCACATACTAAGAGGGGATGAAGAGAAGCATAGGTGCCAATTCCGTGGGTGTTCTGGTGCTCAAGCACCCATGGAAAAAAATAGGGGGTGCTCAGAACCCACCAGCCACACTGGTTCCGCCCCGGCTAGCCGCTGATCAGCTGTTTAGCAGGTCCCTGGGGCTGGCCACTGATCAGCAAGCGGCTGGCGGGAGGCGCTCCGAGGAGGGGACAGAAGAGGGAACGGCGGGCCGGGGGGGGGACTTTGAGGGAGGGGGCGGAGCAGGGACAGGAAGAGGTGGATAAATCATACATGCGAATCGTGCATCAAAGTGGTGAAATGGGCTACAAATGCAGTAAAAAATAAGGTATTCAAAAATTTAACAAATAGGGGGGGGGGACGCCAAAGACGCTCTGGGGCGCCATTTGGGCTAGGGCTGGCCCTGCCACAGACTTTGGTTTCACTCCTGATGACATTCTGCGTGTGGTCCAGAAATGTCCCCTTTCGCTGCCCTCAAATATCTCACTTCCATGTCTTCCTGCCTCCTCCGTCTTTCACCAGCACAAAATTCACTGTGAAATTAAACAAAGCTGGAAGCCACATGAATTCGTAATGTCTTAATGTAACCCACACACCTCCTGGTGTGGTGTCTGTCCCATCTAGTGGCACTAAGACCACTTAGAGAGAGATTAATGAGTCTGCTCTAGAGCTTTGGGCTTTTAGTTCATGCAGTAAAGGCTCATGCATTTAGCTCCCGAGGTCCCAGGTTCGATCCTGCCCACCGACGACCAGGGTCTGTCGGTGTTACATGAACACCACCCAAAACCTCAGCCTAACTCACGAGTTTGATTTTCCTTTTGTTTTCTTTGTCACCTCCTAGAGTTTGGAAGGCAGCATCAGCAAAGCCGCTGACTACTTAGCTGAAAGGTACCAGTCTCTAACCAGACCTTACACTGTGGCTCTTGCGTCCTATGCCTTAGCGATGGTGGGGACACTGAACACCGAGAAGGCGCTCATGAGAGCTTCGACAGGTAAATGAGGGCATCTTATCAAGTACTGGAAAGATGTGTCCAAGTCAGGATGGGGTTCAGGGAAGAAAAGCAAAGGAAGTTGGAGAGGGATTAATTTATGAGGAATGAATAACAGGCATAGATTTGTTCCTTTTGGCCAGATTTGAGATTGATCGGACTGGGTGTAAATCCAGAGTAACTCTCGTGGGTTGAGTGGAGTTACTCCACATTTACACCAGTGTGTCTGAGATCTGGATGTGGCAGAGATATATGGTATTACTTGTCCTCAGGAGGAATCGGAGAGCCCTGTACGTATATCTAAAGGATGTAAACCCCAAAGAGAAAGAGAGAAAAGAGTGGGTCAGGAGGATGTAACTGGATGAAACGGAACAAAGGGGAATTTCAGAGGATATAGAATAATATTGCCCGCAAGGAAAATGGAGTTTGCCGCATTGTTTGGGATAGTTAAAACAGGGCAGGACAAAGCTGTTGTCTAGATATAACAATGTTATGTTGAAAGGTGCCAGGTGGGTCTTTGATCCCCAAAGGGTCACAGACCTTGGCCATGTCTACAATGCAGGGACTAGAGTGGCACAGCTATGGTGCTGTAGCTATGCCGGTATCACCTCCTATTGTAGACGCAGACTGCACCCATGGAAGGGGTTTTCCATCTCTGTAGGGACTCCACCACCATGATCAACGGTAGCTAGGTCAACTGAAGCATTTTCCCATTGACTTAGCAGTGTCTGCACTAGGGGTTAGTTTGGCATAGCTATAGCACTCCGGAAGGGGGTGTGTGTGTAGATTTTTCACATGCCCTGAGTGACACAGCTATGACGACCTAAGTTTTAAGTGTAGACCAGGCCCTTGTTCAAGTTAATGGGTGTGTCAGACACTCTTTCAGACTTAGTGGAGCGAGCAATCAAGACTCTTTCTGTAGTAGACACAGCTAAAAACAATGGAGGGACTGCCCAAGGCACACAGCAGGTCAACAGCTAAGCCATGTGGGCTGAGGGGTTTCCCTGATTGCAAACACAGGGGCTAGTATGTTGGTTTTGCACCCTGTGCATTAGAGGCAGAAATCAGCTGAAAGGCTGGAGAAGTGTTATGAAACAAGCAGAAACTTGAGGCCTAGAACTCACTTCAGAGGCAGACTTGGGGATTTCTGAGCAAGGAAGTTACCTGCTGTTGGTTTCTCTTATGCTCAGGGCAGCGGGACTTTCTGTGCATTTTCGTAAGCAATCAGGTTTACACCAGAGAATATACCTGAGGCCTATCACCAATTCCTCATCCTAATAGAAACAGTCCTCCAAGACCCCAAGTATTGGGTAGCTGCTCAGCTCGAAAGGGGCAACAATCGGTTCGACTTACCGATCGTCCATGTGGAAAGTTGGGGAAGGAGTCAGGCGATGGTACGGTCCAGTCAGATCTGCTCAGAATAAGTGGGTGTTCTTGGGAAGAGTCCTTTAGCTCGCCTTCTTTGTTGCTGCCTAGGGGGAAATCGCTGGGAAGAGCGGAACGCCCGCACCTTCAACATTGAGGGCACCTCGTACGCCTTGCTGGCCTTGCTGAAAATGAAGAAGTATGAGTTGACTGGTCCCATAGTCAGATGGCTGAGAGAGCAGAACTACTACGGCGGGGGATATGGATCTACCCAAGTGAGTATGATCCTTATAGTCCCGGGTATCCTTCCGAGACTGTTTTGTGGGAAGGCCTCCCATCAGAAGGGATGGGATTCTGATCACTTGAGTCATTGTAGAAAGCCCTGGAGAACGCCCAGTAGAGAACAATCCTGCATTGCCTGGGAGATGGGCAAAGTGACCTATCAGGTCTTTGCCTTTGTTAACCTAAGGCAGAGACCAGCACAGGAGCATGACTCAATCTTCTCACTAGAGGCTCCATCCTGCCAAGGTGATGGGTGTGAGCACATGCTTCTCTTTAAGACAGCGAGTTGTCCCCAGAGAGTCAATGGGCCTTCTCTTCCCATGGGCAGAAACACACGCGCATCTGGACTCATTCTGGCATTTGTTTGTTTTTTGGCCATTGGTCAGGAGACAGGGTACCAGGCGTGTAGGACCAACGGTCTGAGTCCATATGACAAAGCCATTGTTGAATCATGACTAATCTGAATTGATTTGGGTTTAATCCATCGCTAAGTAGAACTGTAAGGTTATGGTTTTTTGGATTCTTTTTTTTAAATTGTGCTTACAGGAGGCACTGGAGAGGATAACAGCCCTACTGCTAGTGACAGCTAAATAAAGATGGAGTGTCCTCAGATATCCCTCCCTTCCCTGGGGTATGGGGGCCACTAGGAACTATAGGGTCTGTCTGTGTCCATCAGCCTCAGTTGAGAAATCCCTTTACATTCCTTGCTACCGAGTCTTGTCTTTTCTCTACCTAAATGGACACTACAAGCTCTGCTGGGAGTGGTCTGTATTTTTGGAGTCACAGGCCATGTGTTCTATCCCTAACACTGTGCTGTGTGTGGCACGGATGTGTCTATATATGTGACCTACACACCTCCTGGGTGTGGTGCTCTGTTTGCTCTAGTGGCACCGAGACTACTTAGAGAGAGAGATTATTGCGTCTGCTACAGCCTTAGCTAAGGGCCACATGGCTTTTAGCTCAGGCAATAGAGGCTCATGCATTTAGCAAGAGGTCCTGTGTTTGAGTCTTGGACAAGCCCCCACTTGTAATACCGATAGATCCTGGTCGTCGGTGGGTGGGATCGAACCTGGGACCTCTGGAGCTAAATGCATGAGCCTCTCCTGTATGAGCTAAAAGCCACATGGCCCTTAGCTAAGGCTGTAGCATACTCATTAATCTCTCGCACTAAGTGGTCTCAGTGCCACTAGAGGGGATAGAGCACCACACCCTATGGAGGTGTGTGGGTTACATATACATAGAAGGAGTCACTATCTTGTTGCGCTGTGTCCAGCTGACAATTGGCCCCTGTTAATAGCTAAGGGCAATGGGAAGCTAATTGACCATGTATGATTTATTTATTGACCATGGGTTCTATTCCTGGCTTGGCCACTGGCTTCCTGGGTGACTCTGGGAAAATTACTTCCCTGCCCTGTGCCTCTGTTTCCCCATCTGTACAATGGGGATAAAGATATTGTACTGCTTTGCAAAGTGCTTGGAGATCTACTGATGAAACACACGACAGAGGAGCCGGGTAATATTATCATATAACCCTTTGCCTGCGTGACACCCAGTGGAACCCTGGTGTTTTCTTTCATTATATTTTTGGTTCCTCTTCATTAAAGAGTCTCTTTAGAAGTTGTCAGATGTTCAGCGCAGTAGGACAATAAGGTGTAACCCTCTTGTCTTCCTCCTGGTGTTCTAGGCGACCATCATGGTGTTCCAGGCTCTTGCGCAGTACCAGATAGACGTTCCGCAGCACAAAGACCTGAATTTGGATGTTTCTATTCTCCTGCCGCGCCGTGCTAGTCCGATAAACTACAAAATCGTAAACCAGAATGCTCTGGTGGCCAGAACAGCAGAGGTATCATGCTTCTCTGTGTGATTAGTACAGATCACTGATTATAGAGAAAGGGCATTTGACTAGAACCTCCTATCTAAACCCTTTTGGGAGGGGGAGGGGAATTCATAGTCCCGGCACCAGATCCAAATGAATCCAGACTTTTGACTCAGATTTTTAAGACCAGAAGGGACCATTATGATCATCTCGTCTAACCTTCGGCATGACACAGGCCAGAGAACCTCACCTCCTAATTTCTGAATCAAGCCCATAACTTCTAGCTGAGCTGTGAGGTGTCTCTTACGTAGATATCCAGTCTTGACTTAAAGACTTGAAGTGATGGAGAATCCACCACATCCTGTCAGTCCCTAGCTTCTAGGCAGTCAGGCCTGGTGGTTGGAGCTGGCTGTAGAGTCGGGACTGGGCCAAGGGCAATGCTGAAATCAGGGTCTGGGAACAGGCCGTGGGTCAGAATCCACAGACAAGCCAAATCAGGATTGAAGTCAGAGTCCGGTTGCAGGCCAACAGTCAAAGCCAGGTTGGAGTCAGTCCGCAGGCCTGGGAGGTCAGGAGGAGGATGCAGGCTGGAGCGGGTCTGTAACAGGGATGGAGCAAGGTCAGAGCAGGTCACAGATGAGGCTGAAGTGAGCTGGAACAAGGCTCGGGCATGGCGGGGGCAGGAACAGGAACCGGATCAAGGGCAGGCCAGAAGCCTGGGGCGTCTGTAACACTGCAAGGCCGGAGGAAGGTCCCTGGTCAACTAGAGCTGTTGTGCAGAGTAACTCGCAGCTCTGATGGGGAGAGTGAAATACTTGTCCCTGGGGGTCATCTGGCCTGGGCCCTGACCAGGGATAGTCACTGCAGGCTCCGTTGGAGGGGTGAGTCGCCGCAGCTGAGTGAGCAGCCCTGGGCTGGCTGGGGTTTGCCTCACACATCCCGAGGTAAATTGTTCCAGGGTTAGTGACCTGGAGTGTGTGGTTTTGAGCTGAATCCAGAAGTAGGAGGGGATGGGTTGCTATTTAGGCTTGGCTCTGGAGAAGCAATATGTCTGGAGATCAAAGAGTTACTGCCTGGAAGTGACCTTTTTTCTCCTTCATGCTATTGTCTCTGCAGAGTCCGCCCAGCCCCTCCGGGTGAGTGACTGTCAATCTCACCAGCTTCATTTTCTTCATTAGCTTCATTTGCCCTGTCTTTAAATAATAGTAATAATATAATAATTAATGAAGTACAAAAGAAAATTAACCTTTGATCAACTTTACAGACCAAATGGAATGAAGACTTCACTGTGAAGGCAGAAGGGACTGGACAAGGGACCTTAACCGTAATGACGATCTATAATGCAAAGCTACGGGAGGATGAGTCTCAGTGTAAGAAGTTTGACCTGAGGGTATCGGTCGAAGAAGCCCGGGGTGGTAAGTAACCGCCTGTCTTTTCTCTTCTGAAGCTTGCTGTCAATCCTCAGATCTGGACAAATTTGGCTCAGTTACAGCAGTTTAAATCCAGAGTAACTCCATGGACAGCAGCGGATTGACACCAATGTGTAAACCAACCACCATCTCTGCAATCACATTCTTAACTTTGGAAAGTATTTTTGTGACGCTTCTTCAAACTCTACAAAATTATACCCATAGGGCAGGCACTAAAAAATATTTCCAGCTACTACATGTTCTAAGTTGCAACGAATGCAGGGTCATTCCAGATGAGGGAGCAAATACTGCCTTCTCCCATCCCGGCACTTGTTAGCAGCAGAGTTGGAGCATCGGATGTGGATGTGAACACAGGCCAGCTACCCTGTGTATGGTCTCTCTCTAACGTAGAGATGAGCCCATGCCAGGAAGTCTGGTTACAGACCCAAACTTCCAGTGAACACATTTCCGGACAGCATGGGTGTGAAATCAGCCTGGGACAGAAGTCAGGATTCTCAGCATCTAAAACACAAGCCTCTGTGGCTTGGGCTAAAGGAATAATTTCCTTTAGCTGTGAATAGCTGATCGCTAGTTGCTAGGGCTGGCCAGTAGAGGGAGATATGACCACACATTAGACCAGTATAGGATAGAGGGATCCAGGGGTTTGGCACTGCTTTTCCAGAAACAGGAGATCGCTGTAAATTGTTCTTAACTTTCCCAGCTGTCCAAGTTCACACCCACAGGTTCTCTCTGTTTCAGTTCCTCTTTCTGGTAACTCTAGACTATATTCCGTTTGTGCCACCCAGCTGGGAGAGGCTTTTTAGTTTGTGTGCCAGGGACGGGAAAAGTTTTTTATGGATTGCTGGAGGGGCGGGGAGGTTTATTGAGGGATTTTTAACACCTACTGTAGGACCTGTTTAAGCCATGTTAGTGCATCTAAAAAACAAGAGGGTTTATTTGGCATGAAATTTACACTGAGATATGAATTTCTTTTCTCTTCTGCAATGTTTCTAGTTAAGAAGCCGGAAGGAGCGATGCGTTCAGTCTATATTAAAATCTGCATCAGGTGAGAACAATGCCCTTTAATGATAGACGATAAATAGATGGGCAGATGCAGTGGTAGATGGACAGATGAAGAGGGTAGTTGGAGAATCCTGGGCTATGAATTTTTCTATGGAATGGCCAAAAAAGTTATGATAAAGCAACAGGAGCTGGTGGAGTGATCACAAAATCAATGTTCAAGTGACGAATTCTGATCAAAAGTGTATTTTCTCTTCACCTCGTTAGGTTCCTCGGTGTGGTTGATGCCACAATGTCCATCATCGATGTCTCCATGCTCACTGGCTTCTCACCGGACGTGGAGGATCTTAAGAGAGTATGTCAGTGTAATCTGAGAACAGGGAACGTAATAAACAATGCAGTGGCTCGGCTGGGGCTTTCAGATGAGAAAATCCAAGGCAGCAGGTGAACAGTCAGGCTCCAGGGTTAAACGTGGAGGGAGACCAGAAGGTTGTAAGGACTGGTAACAGCTTTAGGAAACCGCAACCAGTTCTCTCCAGGTCGGTGATGGAATGTCATCTCCGTCGGGCAGTTTTGGGGGGCCAGTGAACAGTGGGGCCAGAGTTTTAAAAAAGTGACTTCCCTTTAGATCCTCTGACCTACATGGTGCAGAGTTATTTGGGCCTGGAGAACTGTGGATACAGAAAAAGAGGCTGCACAGAAAAGCCAGGCCCCGAAGGAGTCATTGCAGTGAATTGCTGCCCTGGTATAAAATGAGGGTGGATTATTAGGCAAACAAACCCAGGGATGTTTCCAGCATTGGTGTTATCCTCCTGCAGCTGCATAAAATCAGCCAGAATGCCAAACCAGAACTATAGTGGGCCCAGAGTTCCTGCTTGGCTTGTACTGAGCATGCTCAGTAACATCTAGTGACACTGCTCCCCTCACTCTGCCCTCCAACTATCTGCAGGTACGGGTCATCTCTGGCTGCATACGCAGTGCTTCATTTGTGCCAAGGCTGAGCCCCGGCACCTCTGGGCCTGGCAGTTCAGAGCCCCGGCACCTCTGGGCCTGGCAGTTCACAGCCCCGGCACCTCTGGGCCTGGCAGTTCAGAGCCCCGGCACCTCTGGGCCTGGCAGTTCACAGCCCCGGCACCTCTGGGCCTGGCAGTTCAGAGCCCCGGCACCTCTGGGCCTGGCAGTTCAGAGCCCCGGCATCTCTGGGCTTGCTGCTTCAGTTATGAAAGTAAAAAAAAAAATTGCTTGAGCTCCGGCACCTCTTTCATGACAAATGTAATGTATGTACGCTGTGCATACGTACACTGTGGTCGCTGAACCTGGGACCTTTATCATGAAAAGCACAATTGTTTCCGCGAGAGTACCAGCTCCCTTAGCTGTGGATAGGGTTACCAACTTTCTAATCACACAAAACCGAACACCCTTGCCCCGCCCCTTCCGTGAGGCCCCGCCCCTGCCTCGCCCCTTCTCCAACATCTGACCCCACGCTCACTCCATGCCCCCGCCCCCGTTGCTCACTCTCCTGCACCCTCACTCACTTTCACCGGGCTGGGGCAAGGTGGTTGTGGTGCGGGAGGGGGCGATGGCTCTGACTGGGAGTGCGGGCTCCAGAGTGGGGCCCACAAATGAAGTGTTCAGGGTGCGGGAGGAGGTTCTGGGCTGGGGTATGGGGTTGGGGTGCAGGGAACGGGTTAGGGCTCTGGCTGGGGATGCGGGCTCTAGGGTGGGGCTGGGGCCGAGGAGTTTGGGGTGCAGGAGAAGGCTCAGGGCTGGGGCAAGAGGTTGGTGAGCTGGAGGGGATGAGGGGTGTGGGCTCTGGGAGGGAGTTAGGGTGTGGGAGGGGTTTCTGACCTGGGTAGGGGGTTGAGCTGTGGGAGGGGGTTCATGGTGCGGGCTCCAAACAGGCAGCACTTCCCTCAGGCGGCTCCTGGAAGCGGTGACATGTTCCCCCGGCTCCTCAGCGGAGTGGCCATGGGGCTCTGCTCGCTGCCCGCACCTGCGGGCACCGCCCCTGCAGCTCCCATTGGCCGCAGTTCCTGGCCAATGGGAGCTGCGGAGCTGTCGCTCGGGACAGGGTCAGTGCGCGGAGCCCCTGTGTCCGCTCCTGTGCCTAAGGGTCGAACATGCTGGTTGCTTCCGGGAGATGTGCGGAGCAAGACAGGCAGGGAACCTGCCTTTGCCCCGCTGTGCTGCTGACTGGAGCGGCCAGGGTCCCTTTTCGACCAGGTGTTCTGCTCAAAAACCAGCCACCTGGCAACCCTAGCTGTTGAATAAATAGCAGGCTAGTATCCTCCATGCAGATCCTATCATGGGAGACGTGATCACAAGCACGACATCACTGAGTCACGTAGTGAGATGGTGGGGTTTTTTCGCCCAGCTGCAGGACTTTCACAGAGACGCTGCCTTACCCACGATGCCTCTTGCTTTTTCTTATTCTCATTTAGCTTTCCCAAGGGGTCGACAGATACATTTCCAAGTATGAAATCGACAAAGCCCCGTCCGACAGAGGCAACCTCATGATCTACCTGGACAAGGTAAAGACTCGACAAGGGGCTTCTCTGATCCTGTGTTAATTTCATGGGCTCCTGATGATCCAAACTGCTCTCCCAGATACACCCTGGCATCCCCGCAGACGTCAGCAAGTTGACAAACTGCAACCCATGGCCAAATTTGACTCACTGGTCCAGATTCAGGCTTTCCACTAGGAACAACTGAATGGGCCAGATCCTCAGCTGGTGTATATGGATGTAGGTCCATTGACTTCAGTGGGAAATGCAGCATCTGATATAAAGGCTGAATTTTCTTCTCTGTGTCATTCACTTCTTCTTTCCTTTCCTTTCACTTCTCTAGTTCTTCTTTCCTCCACCTCCCTCACTTTCTCTTTGCCCTCTTCTTTCCCCAACATCTCCCTTTCTTTTATTCTTTTTCATTCTCTCTCTTCCATCCAGCCACCATTCGGCCTAAGCAATCCTGTTATTTCCCCCGCATCTAGGTTTCTCACAGAGAGGATGAATGCCTGCAGTTTAAAGCTCACCAGTTTTTCGAAGTTGGTCTCATTCAGCCGGCATCCGTCACAGTCTACGACTATTACAGCATAGGTAACCGATCGCAGCTCTCCTCACCATTCAAGGCACCATGGCTTCAAATTCTGCTCTGGGTTACATTGGTATCATTACCTCTTGCAGTCTTTTGCTGCAGTACTTAGGTATCATTATCCCCGTGTCACAGAGGAGATGCACTGAGATGTTGAGAGACTTGCTCTCAGGTAAGCCCTAGACAGCTAGTAGCACAGCTGGGAGCAGATTGCCAGTTCAGAGCTCTAAGTACAGCTTCCGCACACACAGTCCCCTCCCACCACTGGAAATAGAACCCAGGCGTCCTGAATCCCCATCTCCTGCTCTACACTAGCTCACACTCTCTTCTTGACTTTTCCAGATTACTGTACCCCTTTCAGGAGTCTGATTTGCCGTGCGTACCCCAAGTTTCACCTCACTTAGAAATGACTTACTTTCAAAATCAGACATAAAAATACGAAAGTGTCCCAGCCACACTAGTACTGACAAGTTGCTGACTTCCTCATTTTTTACCATGTAATTATGAAATAAATCAATTGGAATATAAATATTGTACTTACATTTCAGTGTGAGACGTGAGCCTGTTTTCACTTGTGAGCCTGGTCATTTGGTGCTGGAGAGCGGCAGCTGCCGGCCAGTTCCCAGCTCTCAAGGCAGCGCCGCTCCCAGCAGCAGCACAGAAGTTAGGGTAACGTGCTATGATATTGCCACCCTTACTTGTGCACTGCTGCTGGCGGGAGCGCTGCCTTCAGAGCTGAGCGGCCAGAGAGCAGTGGCTGCTGGCTAAGGCGTTCATGTTGTTTGCGGTGAATGAGGACTTTTCAATCCTGCTCCCATCCCGCCTCACAATATCTACTCTCACTCCCACCCGCTCCTGCATTGTTTGTTGAATTTTTATCTCACTCCTGCTATTATGGCAATGGGCCCTGTGGGATCCCAGTCTCACTGCAGGGCTCTAGATCCTGTGGTAAAACTAGGCAAATATCTAGATAAGTTAACATAACCCTGGGGTACCGCTAGGGTATGTGTCCCCCTGGTTGAGAACGACTGGATTAGAACACAGGGGTTTTAGACTCATAGACTTTAAGGCCGGATGGGACCATCCTGATCATCTAGTCTGACTTCCTGGCCACCTCCCACTTCCTCCTGTTCTAATATTACTCCATGCTGAAAATACATGGTCACACTCATCACCTTAACACACCCAAGCAAAGGTAGACAAAATAATAAAGGGAACCTCTGACTACAGGCAATAATTATCCTACTTGCCCTCTCCCCCCGTTTTACCTCCAGAGGTGAATTTGCTGCTAGTGTGATTAAGAGGGTGTCTCCAACAAGCACCATTCCATCATTTCAAGTTGATGGTTTCCTGTAGCTAAGAAAGTCGTTCCCACAGACTGCTGCTCCCTTCCCCAGGGGCACCCAGTGGGACTTCTGCTTGAGTAAGGGCTTCAGGGTTGTCTCCTAGGTGCTGTAAACCATGGCTGTTGTTCTGCGGGAGGGGGAATGATCCGTGTCTCTGATCTTTCTCTAGATGATCGGTGCACCAAGTTCTACCACCCGTCTAAGCAGAGCGGGCTCTTCAATAAGATCTGTCATGGGGAAGTCTGCCGCTGTGCAGAAGGTAAGGAGAGTCCTGTCTCTGCTTACACCTCGGGTGGGGGGTCCCCTGTCAGCTTTACCAGCAAACGTGCACTCCCAGGGCCCTCCAGCATCAGCCCTCTCCATTGCCGATCTGGGTCCTCCTTCCCTGTGGGCTCTGGGTGATTCTCACGTGCGCTACAGGCTCATGGCAGCCACAGGCAGGATGGTCTCTGGGTCTGTCCCCCAGCCTGGAGCTCTGACTCTTGGCCGGCTGTGTCCCTGCTACACACCACCACATACGGGAATGGTGGGACCAGGGTCGGGATGAGGGCACTCTCAGTGGAAATATGTGGGAGATGCACCCCCACATGAACTCATGCATGCCTGGGGAGGGACAACAAGAGAGGACCCAGAAGAGACTGAAGGGTCTGGGACCGGGCCAGGGAGTGGAACCCAGAGGGGCTGGAATGGGCCTTGGAGGAGGTAGGAACCCCCGGGACCCACCTTCCCAGCCTGAAGCCTGCTCCTCACCCCTGCAGAGTCTCAATATCTTCCTTCACGCCCTCTCCTATCCCTTCTCCCCGGCATTCACAGGATTGCCTCATTTAGATCGCCTCACCCCCTGCAATCTACCCCTCCATCCCTTGTTTCTTCTTTTACCGTGCCCCATAGCACTGGCGCTGACTTTTATTTTTCCTGGTGGGTGCTCCACCCCCACTCCGCCCCTTCCCCCAAGACCCCACCCCCGCTCTGCCACTTCCTGTCCCCACTCTGCCCCCTCCTGCGAGGCCCCTGCCAGCTGCTCTCCGCCGAATGCCTCCCGACAGCTGCCAAACAGCTGATCAGCAGCCCCGTTGAATGGCTGTGGCTGGTGGATACTGAGACCTCCCTGGTTTTTTTCCATGGGTGCTTGAGCCCCAGAGCACCCACGGCGTTGGCGCCTATGTCCCATAACATGCTGCGTGGTTGGCTTCATGGCCACTCCCTTGTCGGAGGAGGTGGGCCTGTCACTGTTTGGGTTAGCGCGGCTCACCCAGGATTCAAATAGATGGGCACCTGTGGGTCACTAATTACAGAGCTGAAACTATGGTCTCCCTTGGTGATTCTCTACCCCATCTTCCTTCCCCATAGAAAGCTGCTTCATGCAGCAGAAGTTAGAGGGTCCCATCACCCTGAACAAGCGAATGGAGGAAGCCTGCGAACCTGGAGTGGATTATGGTAAATCTGTGATTTGGATCTGTGGAGTCTTTCTCCATGAGGAGGGCGCAGAGACAGGGTTTGGAATTCGATTTGGATTGTAAAGTTTGCCTTTGGGGCTGAATCAGGGGTAAGGTCTGGATCTGCTGGGGCAGAAACCTGATGAGATTTTGGGGCCTTAAACTCCCAGAAATGAACAAGCTCAGATGACTGTTTAAGATTCAGTCTAGCCCTAAGTATGTATCTACCCCCCATTTCCCTAGTATCTGAGCACTTCACAATCTTTAATATGCTTATCCTCACAACCTCCTGTGAGGCATGGCAGTGCCATTATCCCCATTGTACAAAAGGGGAAACTGAGGCATGGAGCGACTAAGTGACTTGCCCAAGGTCACGCAGCAAGTCTGTGGTGGAGCAGGGAAATGAACCCAGGTCTCCAGCTATTGGCCTCACCATGCACCATCTTTCTCACAGCCAGTTTGGGAAGTCAGTTATACACTGAATTCTCTACAGAAAAGTACTGCAGACCTTCAACTGGTGTTTTGTATGTCTTCCTTTTTTTTAAGTGTATAAAACCAGGCTTGTTAGCAGTGAAGAAGTGGGCGGTTCTGACTACTACACCATGAAAATTTTGGAAATCATTAAAGCAGGTAAGAGCTCCCCTTCTGCAATCAGGTGCAATTTCTTTGAATGGCCTTTGGGATAAAGGCCGGCATAAGAGCTATTTCTGTTAGCCAGAGGAAGTGCTAAAGCAAAGCTAATCTAGTCTCATGCTCCAGGGCATTAACCTATCGCCACAAGGGGACAAGAAAGAATTTGCTCAACCCACCGAGGCAGCCATGCCACGAAGAGGCAGACAAAATAACAGGGGGGAACCTCTCCCTGTGGTCAGCCTGGCACAATTGGCCAGTTTCATGAAGGGCTTTTTCAACCTTCCTCTGAAGCAATTGGCATTGGCCATTGTGGGAGTCAAGATCCCAGACTTGGGGCCCTTTGGCCCAAGCTGCTATAGGGGAGGTGGAGTCTCTCTTCCTCAGTGCTGAGTTTTATAAATCGATATAAAGGCAAAGTAAGCAGGGATCTAACTGATCTCAAAGCAGCTTCACTCACTGGGAGCTGATATGACTGTTCTAATTATTTGAATTACCTGAGATTAGGGGCCCCTTGTGCTAAGCACTGGACATACCCAGATACAACCCCTGCCTTGACGAGGTTACAATCTAAATGGACACTGGGTGGATTTATTAGCCCCATTTCATGGGTGGGGAATTGAGTCACAGGGAGATCGAGTGACTTGTGCAGGGTCACACCAGGAGTCTGTGGCAGAAACAGGAGCTGAGGCCTGACCTCTTCAGGCCCAGCCCGGTGCCGCAACCACAAGACGGACCTTCCTGTCTCCAATGACTGCTGGAGCTTCAGTGACTGGTTATCGTAGCAGTCACACTGGGGCTGAATTTGTACTGAAGTCTCAAGAGAACACCTAGGAGTCTCCTCTTCTCTGTTCCTTTCATCTTCATCCCTCTCCACCCCGTATTATTTCCTCCTCACTCTACTCTTATGTGTGACGTCTGTTTTCACCTTCCCCCGCCTTCCCAGGGACTGATGAAAATCCACAAGGAAAAACCCGCCAATTCATCAGCCATATAAAATGCAGGGAGTCTCTGAGGCTGGAGCGTAACAAAGACTACTTGATCTGGGGACTCAGCACCGACTTGTGGCCCAGGAAAGCTGAGTAAGTAGCCTCCTGTGGTTACCCTGCGTTAGTCAGTTTCAAGCAGACACGCCCTTAACTAATTACCCATCTATTTTAGGTACCTATCAGGCCCCCATTACTGTACTTTCTGAGAACCTCACAATATCAAATGTATTTATTCTCACTACGGGAGGCAGGGCAGCGTTATTACCCTCATTTAATGGATGGGTAAACTGAGGCACAGACAGCCTAAGGTCCAGGTCCTCAAAGGTATTGAGGCACCTAACTCCTACGGACTGGCCTTAGGCGACCTCTCCAAAGTAGGAAGTTTCTGGAATTGCTGGGAATTGAATCCAGGTTCGCCTCGTAGTCTAACCCGGGACCACCATTCCTCACAGGGGCTACCCAACTATTTCACCAGCACAAATCACATTGTCAGTGCTATTTCATGGTCCCTGCATCCAGCCACAGTTGTTCTTAAATCACTTAGGTTTAAACTGGGTGGAAATATACATAATTAGGGTAGAAACTGCACCTAAAAATGAGCTTCAGCAACAAAAATGCAGCTCACAGAGGCTAAAAGTTTCATCCTCATGCTGTATCTGGAGCATTGCATGCTGGGATCTGTAGTCTCTGGGCAGGACCTATGAGAGGGGAGGCAACCCACTGTTTCTCTGGAAGTCAGATGTGGCCCTTAAGCATTGGTGGAGTGTGAACTGCGTGTTTGGGGAGGCTAGATCCCAGCCTTGCTTGTTCTCCACAGAATATCAGGGTTGGAAGGGACCTCAGGAGGTCATCTAGTCCAAGCCCCTGCTCAAAGCAGGGCCAATCCCCAAGTAGATTTTTGCCCCAGATCCCTAAATGGCCCCCTCAAGGACTGAATTCAGAACCCTGGGTTTGCAGGCCAATGCTCAAACCACTGAGCTATCCCTCCCTCCTGCTGGATCCCCAAGCCCACCACCGCGGCTGCCAGCCCCCCTGCCCCAGCCCCTGGCCACTCCGGCTGGCCAACCTGAGCGCCCCCAGGCCTGAAGTGTTGGGTGCCGCAGCCCCAGCGTCCCCAGCCCCGGAGAACCAGGTGCTGCGGCCCCAGTGCCCCCTGCCCAGGAGCGCAGTGTGCTGCAGCCCCAGCGCCTCAAGCGCCACCAGCCCTGGAGCACCAGGGAGCCCCAGTGCTGGGAGGCCTCATCACCTGGGGCACCCAACCGCCTCAAGTCCCAAGCCACAGGCCAGCCCGTGCTAGCCCCAGCCCCAGCCCCCTTGGGGAAGAGGAGCAGCCTGCATGGGCTGTGGCCGGGAGGAAGCGGCGAGAAGCAGGATGGGGTTCGGGATGGAGAATGAGTGGGGCCACACCTGGCTGTTTGAGGAGACTCAGCCTCCCCTGGCCTGCCATACCCGCTGCCCATGCCCTTAGGCAAACCCGGCTGCCCCTAAGGAACTGAGCAAACAAGTTGGACAAATGTGGTGCTTCATTGCTCACCCTTCTGCCTGTCCGTCCCAGGCTATCCTACATCATTGGCAAGGACACCTGGATCGAGAAGTGGCCCAACGAGGAAGATTGCCAGGAGCCGGATTTCCAGAGCCTCTGCCAGGAATTCCTTGAGTTCTCTGAAGCCATGACCATGTTTGGCTGCCCAACCTAAACTTGGACCCAGCTTTCCCAGCCGCCCCCAGGGGACAGTTTGAGCTGAGACGGAGCATAACACTCAGGTGGAGACATCTCCACTCAGAGTCCCAATGCTGCTGACACTCGCCACTAGCCCTGTCCTCTTTGGGGGTTTTGCTCTCTTTTCTTCTTATTGTTTCTATATATATATAAAAGGCTGATTTCTTACCCTGGCCTGCTGTGTGACTTTTTACCAATCTTTACATGGTCTGCAATATAGTTTTATAAGTAACCAGCTACTAGGATCATGGGTGCATGAGAAACACCTTAAAATAGATTAGGATGGACAAGAATGAATGGGTGGCTAGATACACATGGATGGATATTTGGGAGCAAATCTTCTGTACCTATGTGTGCCTAGAGTGACCACACAACCCGTTTTGGCCGGGACAGTCCCTTTTCTCAGCCCTGTCCCGGCTGGCACCATGGAGGTACACAGACACTCTCCACCAAAATCCACAGCACCACCAGGTGCCCCGGCCGAACAGAATTCTGAGCAGGCGGAAGTAATCTTAGATCAAGAGGCAGCTCCTGCTACCTGTAACTCCTTCTCGCCAGAGGAGAATGTTATGCCCCCTCCACCCACTGCTGGGGATGAGCTCAGGACCTTCCAGGATCTCTTCAAACAAATTGCTGACATGCTCCAGATAACCGTAGAGGAAGTCTCTCTTGGACACACTGCACACGTCCACCTTCTCCCAGCTTGCCCTCCTGATTAACAGCACTCATGGAACCTGCTGAGAACATATGTCTGATCCCCGCTACCATCCATGCCTTAACCCACGGGTTGAGAACTACTGTGTTAAAGGCTCATTAAAGCAGCGATCCCCAAACTGTGGGACAAGCCCCCCTAGGGGTGTGTGGAGGAACATTTGGTGGGGGGGCGCATGGCAGGGAACACCACACAGCCCCACCCATCACCTGGGGCCGAGAGGGAGCACCACCCAGCCCCACTCTGCCCCCACACCAGCTCCGCCCCCATTTGCAGTTCCACTCAGTAGTGGCTGCTCCTTGCAGTCAGCGCTGACCCCACGGTCCCACCATGGTGCTAGGAAGCAGCAGAGGTGACTCAGTAGCGAGTGTTCCCCTCAAGGGGGTGCTGTGCTGCTCAGTATGCCAGGCTTGAGCAAGAAAGCCGAAATCAGAGGGCCTGGCCATGCTGTAGTATTTACAGATACCGTGCCACTATGACAAGAGTCCGGATGTTTGCTCCAGTGTCCACTTTGGTACCATTTTATCTCCCTCACTTCCCCCTGCAGTTCCTTTTGCATATGGAATTAGTCTTCACTTCCTGTCCTAAACAGCTGTTTTTACAGTCGTTAAAAAGCTGCCATCTTCCTTCCCAGAGGTATCTGCAGGGATTTATCTGGAGTTTGTCCCCTATATGATCCTGCCCCTTTCAGACGAAGCTGCAAGAGTCCAGGCCTTTCACAGCCGATTCTACCCCGGTTTCCTAGTCAGTTCAAACAGCGGGAGGGAATGAAGGGCTCTGATCTCTTATTGAGATCTGAAACGTCTGCAGTTAATCTTTGTGCCATGCCCAGATACTACAGGGAGTAACAACAAGAATGAAACAACTTCACAGCTATGAAGCTCCACTAAGAGAGAAGGATTATACTTGATTCCCAGGTGGGTAAACTGAGGCACGGAATGCTCATGTGACTCACTCACAACAGGGCAGTGATAGAATTAGAGGTGTTAGAACACAGGAGTCCTGACTCCTGGTCGTTGTGCTCTAAACTTATATTCCCAAGCTGTTCTGAGAATCAGGCTAGGAGCTAGGACTCCTGAGTTCTCTGCTCAGAACTGTGAGGGAATATTGTCCAGTGTTTAGAGTATAGAACCCAGGAGTCCAGACCCCTAGTTCCTTGTTTCAACCAATAGACTTCCCACGTACATGGACATAGTTTCCCACACTCAGAAGCAGAACCCAGGAGACCTTTGTCTCCTGCCTTGATTATGCAAATAAATCAGACAATTTGCACCTCTTGTGTTTTTATAATATTTTTTGGCCTATATGTTTTTCTTTTCTTGCTCATTCTTTGTGTCTGTATTTTTATGTCTAGCCTGTTTGGCAGAGCTGTTTTAGTTACGTTCACAGGCAAGAAAGGGGCTGCAATGTATCTTCTTTCTTTTTTTGCAACGGGAGAAGCCAGCGTCACATTGCAGCAATCTGCAAATTCAGATTATTTATTAGGTATGTTACAGTGGCACAGAGGAGCTGCCTCCCTTCATTGTGCTAGGCGCTGTACGAACAAAAAACAAAAAGTCCCTGCCCCAAAGATCTTACAGTCTGATTATTTATTGTGTGTATCACAGGAGCACCTACAGGCCCCGATCAAAAATGGGGGTACCTGGTTGTAGGTGCTGTACACCCGTATAACAAAGAGACAGTCCCTACCCTGGACAGCAACGCAACCCTGGGGGAGGGATGGGTCATAGTTGAAAAGTTAAGCACATGAGTGTTTGCAGGTTCGGGGCTGAGTATTAGGGCTGTTTACCTTGGCTTCAGCTTTGGCTTTGAATTTCTTGTCAATTACAGAGGTAAATTTGGAGCAGCTGGTGCTGTATCCCAGCCCGGTGACACCAAACTCTGGTCATCTTTTTCCGCCTTGCAAACATTCAGTGCTTAGAACTGTCCCATTGCAACAGCCCTGTTGTGGAGCGGCCTCCTCCCAGGCACCCCCTCATGGCCTCAAGCCAATCCAGCAGGCAGCCCCCTGCCTCAGTTTCCCCCTTTCAAGGGGCTTCTGCAATAACTCACAAGCACTTTCACAGCCCATCTCAGGTTTGGGATTATTAAATTAACAAATATTAGTTTAGTATCTATTTATTGTGTGATGTTATGATCAATCAGTATGTTATATAATACCTATAATCATTGTAAGTTCACCGGAGTTGATTTGTTGATTATAAAAGTATAAGATTGATCTGTATTTAGAGGAACTATGTTGTAGACATGAGTAAGACAAGCTGAAATGCAAGAACCTGTAGACTGAGGATTGCAAGACTTTAGGTTAGCTATTTTAGGCCTTGGAGACAAGAAATGATGGCACAAGTCCATGACCAAGAAATAACCCAAAAACTTATGGGAAAGAGGTACCAACTAGTAATATTGTGAAAGTATAACGTCTTAAATTTAAATAATAAATGCTGTAACAACAGATACTGTCTCTAACACATGCCTTAACCACAAGATAAATGTGGTACGCCAACGTTAATGAGAACATACACAGCCTATAGAATTTGGGGTCTTGTTGGGTATGGACTGTTGTATTGTTCTCTGGTTCATTACACACAGTTTATTAAATTATGTGTGGGTATCAGACCCAATGATCAGTGATTGGAAGGACACTGTGGCAATCCAAGATGGAGCCTGAAAACTGTCATCTTGTGACTCCATCTTGTGACCTTCTGTCCACTGCCAGCCTGGTCTGGATAAAACTGGACTGAACCGGTTTTTCCCGCCACTGGGCGATCCCCAAGGTTCCATCACCTCAGACTGTTTCCCGCCTTTCTGCGGCTCGTACCATGTTTTCCCGTCGTAGATTCTGTAACAGAGCTGGGGTCACAGGCTGATGGGGCAGTCCATCGCAGCGACCGTGTGTGTGGTTTCGGGTCTTTGTGGCACTCGTGCGTCAGCGAAGAACGCCCTTCGTGCCCGGAGTGAAAGGACAAGAAGACGACACGTTACCATCTTACCCGTCCTGCGCCGGGGGAACGTCGCCCTCCAGAGGGTTCCTGGTCCGCGTCTTCTGCCCTGACGTCCACCGAGGGACTCCCCAGTGCTCCTCCTCCAAGGGTTTCAATTACCCGCGGAGTAGAGGTCCTGTGTAATTCTCTCCCCCCAGACATTTACCTGTGTTCTGACCCTTCTCTCTCGTCAGTTCGATTTATTGTGCCCCACACCAGGGGAGAGGGGAGGAGATCTGCACCAGGCCGCCGCAGAGGGCGAATCTGCTCCTTTGAGAAACAGGGGCTTGTTTCTATGCCGATACCTACAGCACTTTCCACATTCAAAGTTATCTTGGCTCCCCTTTGAGATAACAGTCCCTTGTGTTTCCAGGGGACACAGACCAAGAGAGCAGGGTCGGGGTTGGAGGTGCCCAGAGCAGGAAATTGAGCTTCCGATGGGAAACCCCCGCAGGAACCACACCCGTATCGATCCATCCATGAGCCGGCCAACAGACCCTAACAGCATCTAGGAGGATGTGAGTATGTCGGTAGGTATAACTGGTACGTGGTACTTATCTCTAGGAATTGTATATGCTGTGACATTTATAACTTTGTTGGTAACTTTAATAACACTACTAAAAGACAGACGCTCTTGTAATTGTCGGTGTTATTTGCCTGTGGTTTCATGTGTTCCTATGAACTCTAGATCCAGAACAAACAGAGATAACTCTGTTGAACTTGAGACTGTGGCCAACAGAGCTGATCCCACTGAAAAAGGATTAACATTAAATAGAATAAAAGGCTCCTTCTCCCTAGAAATTCCCCTCTCTCCACATTCCTGCTGCTCTAAGCTCTTGATAGGGAAATCAGCTGACCCCTGCTCAGGGGAGCCACCTTAGTAATTAGGGTTGTCTGGCCCCAGGCCTCTAGCCCTTTACAGGCCAGCCACCCACTAGCCCAGGGGTGGGTAAACTACGGCCCTTAGGCCAGATCCAGCCCGTTCTCGATCCCGGTACTGCTCCCTGGCACCGCGCAGAGACCGCACACCTGTGGGCCGGCACCGCTTGGCACCGTTCCCAGCGGAGTCAATGCAGACACGCTTTGCACCATCCTGGCCCTCACGATCTGCCTCACGCTCTTCACAGTCTGATGGCGCCTCCTGCTCAGCCTATCCCGCTCTAGGTCAAGCAGCGGACGACCTAGGCCATTGGCAGGATGGGGCTGAAGACCCTAGACAGGATCCTGCACACTGGTCTTTCTAGACCCCGTGGGCATATCACCAAGTCCAAGGGGCCCCACCGGCGGCCTCCTGCTTGGCACGTTCAGAGACCCAAGTACCGGAGGCCACCATCAGTCGTCCCCCTCTGGGGGGTATGGAGGCACCTGCGCTCACTCTTACACATGCCCCAGACCCCAGTACAATGGATCCTGGACATCAGGACCCCTCGCAACTGGAACCGCCACAGGATCCATTACCCCCTGAAGCATCCTCC